ATGTTCTTCAGCCTAGTTTGAGCAAGCATCTCTCGCTCTATCGCGCTCTCTTTCCATGCTTAAAATGAAGAGCGCTCAATATAAGGATTGGCCTGTTTTCTGATTCTAAACACTGCAGATGCCGGACCTCAAGTCCCATCGACTGCTATCCTTTACTACCCTAAAGCGTGTGGGGAAAGGTTGTCCCTGCTGAGAGATGCAGTTGTTTTTTTTTATTCACAATGAATACCTACGCAGGCGCTTTTTAAATCCCCAGAACAATTAATCACGTACCAGAGGCAGCGAGGTGATCTGAGTGGCCCACAAGCATGATAAAATGAGTTAGAAGATTTGACCTTAGAGAAGACATCATTCTGGAGGCAAAATATCGTCAGAACCTACCCTGGCAACCGGTGGAACGTATTCTTTTGGCGGACTGCAGCATTCCGTGGGACTCAGACTGAGAGCAACATCGGTCATATCGGTGACAGTTTGGCTCTTGCTGCCTGACATAAGCGCGGGTTGGTCTCGTTGCACACGACGACAGCGCTCAATGTGAGCAACATGCGTACGCAGCAGGTCGTTGTAGCGCCCCTGCGCGTTGGTCACTTCCTTTCGCAACTCCGCCTCCTTTTCTTCCAACCTGGCAACTTAAAGCAAGAGGATGAGGCGATTAACGTCAGTGGCTATAGTGGAGGCAGAATCAATGAACGCATGATTAGAATTGCCCCTCCTCCCCAGAGGGACAATTTTCCCAGTCAAAATTAACTCTTGCCTTGGCACCTTGTTGATATGCCAGAGTGGTGGGGGAGGGGGGTGAATATGAAAGCAAAAGGCCTATGTTAGCTTGAGCAGATGCTGAGGCTGCTGTTTTGGAGCTCTGCTCTGCTGCTCTGCTTTAAGAGCCAAGCTACGCTGATGGAAGTTGGGTCACTAACATCGACATATCACTGGTATATTCGTATAGCTCCAGGCACTGATACCTTCACTATAGGTCTATACAGATCACTTGACTGAACAGTAGGTAGGCAAACCGTCTCCTCATTAGTTTAAAAGGCGGATTACCATTGCAGCCTCGTCTTTTTGAATGTTGACTTGCGACAATAACTGAACCAGTCAAACAGCGTTATGGTTTTAATAAGCTGAGTACAGTACGGCGAGGAAGTAATACAAAAGTCATTGAGAAACTGGACTTGGTAATTTAGCATGTATTTGGTCATGTTATTGTGACCTAGTGAGTGGACTTAGTTCTGAGAAAGCCTTTTATTAAGGAAAACTGCTTTTTAATTCAGTATATTGAGGGTAGTAGGCATTAATTTTGACGAAATCGCAAGTACTCTGATACCGAAAAACAGAAAGAAACCTTTAATTTACATGAATTATGCTATGGGAGAGCCTCAAAATAAGAAAAGTTCAAAATATATCCCCTTCAGAACCGGATATTTACTTTGGAGTTGACAAAAAGCAGGTGAAGCCAAGTTTAAGAAATCGCATTGTTGTTCGAAAACAAGAAACGACTTCAGTTTTAGAAATTGATTTTTGCCAGTTTGAAGATTTCAGTAAAAAAAACGCAGTAAAACGTTTTGACCGCATTCTGTTTTACCAGATCAAATATTTGGAACGGTAACTAAAACTGCATATATATTATCGCGAAGATGAAGGTAAAAATGAATATTTTTAAATCTAAGGCATATATAAATATACTTTTTGTGCAATATAATTTCCGCTTATGCGTAATTTACAAACGGAACAGACAGAAGATTAAAAATTATCGCAAAGTCTTAGTATATATCGGGCCACGCTTTTTTGCATTCGCGGACTTAGAATGGAGCCCAAAAGTAATCAACAGTGGTGAAAAATACTCCAATATAAAGTGAAAAGTAAGTTGTTTTATTTCCAACTAAAATTATATCGATTATTTTCAGGTAAATTAAAAAAACTCATCAACATTCTCCATTTTCACTTTCGCATTACCTTGGGAAAAGATAACATGCACAGATATTCGTCGGGTGAATACCTAATGAAAGTAATTTTAAAATAGGTAACTTATCATAGAAAGTGTTTTTCATGAATCTTAGGAATAACAATATCGGACTTCTGTTGCGGACATTCTTTTTGTTCGACAATGTGTTTTGGTGCTTCGAGAAATTTCTAAATATGGCCCACGTGGCCATTTCATAAGAACTAATATCCAAAAAATCGTTTTTTATAAATGCTTTGAATGCATATCTTATTTTAAAAATTTTAATATAAACGTCGAGCATAATTTGGATTTATGGACAAAAGCTTTAAAATACTAAAAACGCTCGAAAATATGCCGGAAGTTAAGGGACGATCTTAAACTTATTGTAATCTAATAAGGGAAATATGTATAAAACATCTTGACTAGAGAATAGTCCTTTTGATATGAAGAAGGAGGTATGATTATCCATTGAACTGACGATAAGATTTTAATGTATTGGTATAATTTATAGTTATTTTAACGTCTGCGGAACTTGAATATTATCAGGAAAACTTATTTTTCTTAATAAACAATTGGTACTTTTAATATTTCTTTGAAATAACAAATTTGCTTCAGCTTGTTCATTATTGTTTCATACATGTGTTAACACTGGTCTGCGAGTAATTATCAATCTTTCGCAAACTTTGGCATTTTGCACGACTTATCTGTCGTACTGTAATTTCACTGTAAGACATGCCACCTATTTCGGTTCTTCGAGATTAAGAATGGAACCCAATTAGCCGGGATCTGACTAAACGGCTTCCATTCTACCTAAATTTCTTGTTTCACGAGTTGTTGTGCGCCTCGTTGATCGGTGTTCAGCGGCTCAAAACCAGCCCTAAGATTAAAAAAA